CAACACTAGAATAGATATAATGATTTTGAAGAGTATCAATATGCATTAGAAATTAGTCTTGCTTGGAAAACTCAATTTTGAAACAATGTTCGGATTTTGTCACTTTCGAAGGTATGCTGAAGAACAGCTGTAAAAATAGGAAAAAAGCTAACGACTTTAAGTATAAAAATGAAAGGAATAATTGGTTCCATTCGTGTTGAAATATTACGATGACTAACTGCTACTGATTTTAACTATCAATAAGATCGATATGCATCATTGACTGCAATTCGCTACCAGTAAGAGTACTCAATTGATCAAATAGAGCTACTTGAAAGCTCGCTGTTCCATGAACCGATGCATTGCATGTAGCGTGTTCTGCACACACACCCATGACAGCGAAACCGCCGACAGCTGCGACCAAATAATTGTCAGTGGCACCGGCAAAGCAAGCCATCAGAGCACTCACTGTGCAATCCATACCGATAAGTTGATTGAGACGATCGGAAATATTCTTAATTATCACTGTCTTATGTCCATCAGAAACATAGTTCTTCTGACCACTAAGTGCCACAATAGTTTTTCCATGTCTCTTTTGAGCCAATTGACGTACCATCTGACCTGGATCGGGCGCGCTGGTACTAGAGTCCGCTCCATGACTATGAGCTTTTGTATTATAAATGTGTTTAATCTCGCTCGAATTACCTTTCAAAATGGCAATATCGAGAGAATTGAATAATTTTAGAACAGCTTCCGTGCGATAGGTCGTAGCTCCGACTAGAACCGGATCAAATACGATCGGAATCTTCTTATCGTTGGCACGCTGTCCTGCAAGATGTATTTCTTGAACCCATGGTCCACTCAGTGCACTAGAATCGATTACGATTGCGTCGGCCAATGAAGCCATATCCTCGACCTCCTCGACTGCATGTGCCATTAATGACTTAGCACCAACATGAATTATAGCATTACCAGTTTGATTCATCACAACTTGGTTCATAATCTGATAAACTATTGGTTTTTTTTGCCGAATCGCGTCGAATGTGTGGGCGACGGCTTTCTTTAAGGACGATACTGACATCGATGACATGCTAAAGATAAATGAAATACAAGTGTGTATCATTCGTAGACGTGTACTGCTCAGTATGAAATTCATCTATATCCTGCGTTCAATACCGATCATAGAGCGACATGCTTTGCAAGTTCACAGAGATAAAATATAACTAGAATGGTCTTCTTTAATGCAAATAGAAATCGTTGTGCTCAAACGGACATGTGAATATCGGCAACAATCTATACCGATTTCAAGACACGTCAAAAATACTAATATTTTCTCTAATCCTCTTCAAATCTGCAGAGAATGATTCATGATTCGACGTCTCAGTCAGACAAACAACAAAATAAAACGCGTAAAAACGTATCGAAATTTTAACGAAAATAAAATCGTAAAAAGTGCACATTTTTACGGTTTTATTGTCGTTAAGGTTTATTGACGCGTTTAATTTTGTTAAAAAATTTAACGCATTCATAATAGTGAGTTCCGGTGGCAGCAGTTACGATTTGGGGCTCCAGCAATAAACGATTTCAGAGACTGTTTTCTATTCAAATTCAAACTATTCATTATAAAGAATTTAAATTAATTGAGAAGTAACAGCTTAAGAATATCTTTTACTAACAAAACTTTTTATACCACCATCTGTAATAAAAAATTGTCTCATAAGTGCGATCGATTTGGACTCTAACTATTTATTTTTGTCAGTTCTTATAAAATTAGTGTACTTTTCATCGATAAAAATTCTGTCTTCTACATTGGTTCAAAGCAACATGTCTATTGAAAGCGCATTTTAAATCTCGTGAAAAAAGAAACGAGTTAAAACATAAAGGAATGAAAAAACTCATCTTGCCATTTAAAATTCTTGTGCCTAAACGCGTATGAAAGTATAAATGTGATAAAATGATTAGAAACTAACAAAAACCCGCGTAAAAACACTTAAATTGAAAAGAAATTTACGCTTTTTAACGCGTTAATACGCTTAAGAAATTCATTAAAACGACATTTTAACGATACTCTAACGTAAAAACGCCGTTTTAACGAAATTTTAACGCGTATTAACGCGCTTTTTTTCGAAGTGCTTGTCTAACTGGGGTAGTTTGCTTATCATCTGAATAACGATATTTGCACAAGAGCATACGCGTATATGTGTCTTGAAGATGAAAGAAAAAAAGAGAGGAGATCAGAAACGAAAGAAGACATCGTGAATACAGCAACAATAGTAAAGCACTGATTGATATTAGAAGAAATGGAGAAAATAAGGACGCTGAGGACGAGAGAAAATAAGACTTATGTGAGAATAAATGAATGACGAGACCCAATTAGATGTTTACTGTATATCTTGGGCACAAACAGCAGCTTACATCACTGTTTTCTTACGCTTAATATCTCTAAGATATATCATTCAATGATTTTAGTTAGTATTCGATAATATTCCATCATCAAACGTATATGTTTAACGATGAGAATTTTGATTATTTGGCATCGTTTCAACAATATGTACACTATGATGTGTGTTCGTTCTCGACTGTTCGAGTAACATAAGAAGAACAAAGAAAAAAAAAGATTTCCGTTGTCTCAACCAAATTCATGCGTGTTGAAAATGTATATTACCCATGTAAAAATAAAAAGGTATTTAACGAAATGATTCTTAAAATTAGGGGTGATAAGTTATTGTTATCTTGTTGTTATTAATAACAATAACAATAACAAAAAAGTTATTGTTATTAATAACAATAACTATTTTTGTTATTTGTTATCGATAATAATACCTTTTTTTGTTATTGTTATTAATAACAATAACTTTTTTCAGAAAGTTATTTGTTATAAATAACAGGTAAATAACAAATAACTTTTTTTTTTGAAAACTCAGTGCGAAGTTTCTGTTGATTGTATCACATGAATCAGCACTATAAACGTTAGGGAATCGTTCCAAAGCATAAGCCCATCTAATGGGTACAATTAATATATACAGGGAAGTGAGACAGGATCTTTTTCAGAAAAAAAAGTTATTTGTTATTTTTCTGTTATTTATAACAAATGACAAAAAAAGTTATTGTTATTAATAACAATAACTTCTCACCCCTACTTAAAATCAACGTAAAAGAATGCGTTAAAAGACAAATTAACGAAATTTCATAAAGTTTCGTTATATTCCGAAAACTCGTGTAAACGCATTAGATTTTTCACGCGTGATTGTTGTTTTAACTGTAACTAACTCATTATATATATCGTTAAACGTTGCATCCATTTTCACGTGTTAAGAAGTTTAACGATATTTCTTGGGTTCTTTTTATTTTTAATCAATGGTACCATGTTAAATATCGTTAAAATTGGTATTCATTTTCATGCGTTAAACATATTAACGCGTTTTTATGAATTTCTGTATTTCTCACGAGAGTTAACTGATTGATTCTCGTTAAATCTAGTAATTGTTTTCACGAGTGAAATATTTTAACGAGTTTTAATGAAAATTTTAATTGTTAACGAACGTCATTTAATTATCCATCATTCAATCTAATAATCGTTTTCATGCGTACAATATTTATGAGTTTTTATGTAACATATTTGTTTATGCACATTACACAAAAACCATCTTGAAAGACTTATATTTACGAAACATCAAGTGTGCCTATGAATTATATCAATCCAGATATCAAAAGCTTTTTATCAGATTAAGCAGAAATCTCAACTTTGTATTAGTCGCTAGCAAAACCATTTGAATTAATCCTAGATACAGATAATCGTCTTTCATTTTTTCTTTAAAATTTACTATGGGTTTTATATCTAAAGGAATTTAATTCTGTAATCCGTACATCATCATTTCTGCTTCACATGATAAAAAAAAAGTTTAGCGAAATAATTGCTCCAGTTAAGGCCAAAAGTTGCTTTAAAATGCAAATTAATGAAGTTTCACGAAGAAGATTTTCATGAATTTTTGTTAGATTTGGAAAATTCGTTTTAACGCGTTAGATTTTTCATATTTTTTCACGCGTGATTATCATTGTAATGGTAACCAACTCATCGGGTGTGGGTGTGGGTTGAAGACAAGAACAAGATCCATACTCACACCCACAAATTTTGGATATGATTTATTACTAAACAAAGATATGACATGAAAGTTTTATTTCATTTTGATGTACAGATCACACTGTAATAAAACTGTCATGTCATATCTTTACTGAGTAATAAATTTTATACAAAGTGTAACAATATAAAAAGACAAAAGGGAAAAAGATTTTTGTCCGACAGTGTGAAATGATTTGTTTCATATTTTTATAATCTTCTCGTTTGTCAAAATGCACTGAGTTGCATGATCTTTCTAAGTTTCGTCCGAGTCACATAATATTGATAGAAGTGAATAATTTTTGTAGTACGAGCTAACAAAGATTACAACACATACTATGAATATCGAGAAATCTAGGTTTTAAACTGAAATTCAAAAACAAAAGTATAAAAAACTCGGAAACTCATGTTAATATGTTTCAAGACATTAAAGAATGATTTCAAATTTTCCGTAATATCTACAAAAAATTTTCTACAACGTATCACAGAGATATTGCTGAGGCTCGTGAAATACTCTGAGCTGACCAAAAGTACTTCTGTCTTTTCGTTTTTTTGTGACAAATCTTAGTATCAGTGAACTCATTCACATGTCACAATTAGACTTGTAGGGTGTGGGTGTGGGTTTGGATGGGAGTGTGGATCTTCTTTTCACCCACACCCTTTTTAACTCTCAGTAAAATTTCCTAAATTATTGAATCACTGGTGGTGAATTTTCAGCTGATATCAATTCTCTATGCTTGTGCCAATGATGATTATATCAAATTAGAAAATTCTTGAACAGAAAAAATAATGAACATATATGTCCTATCGAATTTCTTGTTTTTTTTTTTTATAAAATTAAAGAGAACATATTTAAAAATTCGTCCGTTTATGAATAGATAGCAAATAATGAATATAATTTCGTTCATAATTTGTCACAGTAATCATCCAATGGTGGAATACCTTCTTTTAATCCTTTACGTTTCCGAATATCATTAATAATTTGTCGAACTTTAGTTGAATCATCAAATGGATCTTGATTTATAATTTGCCAATGATCAAATACACGCTGTGAAAATACTTGATCACCTGTATTTGAACAAAGATCAGCAGTAAAACCTATGAAAATAAAATAAATATGAATTAAAAAAAATCGAGATTATTCCCTTACCGAATGATTCATTGACTGGTAAATAAGCTTTAACAATACACATTGATGTCCTAGCTACATGATTTTCTTCAAAAACATAACCACGACGACGATTTAATACATCATAAATACTAACAATATCAACTTCTAGACACTAAATACAATTATTATAACTCTATGAAAATGAAAATTTATTTTTTTTCTTAACATACTTGTATTTCACATAAATAAATTGGTTCTACAAGTCGTGGTTTAGCTGTGAGCATTGATGCATAAATTACACGACGAGTTGCTGGAATAATTTGACCATTAGCACGATGTATAGCATCATTATAGAATATAACATCATGAATATCAAAACGAACACCACGAACATTTTCTTCAGCAAGTACACCCATTTTTGTAGCCCATTGAAATCCAATAATACAACCATCTTTTATTTCATTTAGATATTGTATACCTTTAGTACAATCAACTAAAAGATTTGGTCCAGTTCTTTCAGGTCCAAAACACCAAATTTTACGTGCTTCATTTATATCATAATCATATTTTTCATTTAAATAACGCGCACGTGCTTTATTTTCTTGACATGATGTTACTTCACCTTTATCAATATCTTCTGGTAAACCTGAAAAATTCATTGTAAAAAAAGAGTTTCTCAAATCCAATAATTAAATATTTTTCTTTTACCATTAGGCATAGGTCGAGCTTTTAAGTAGATACGATTATGTTTATTAGGTGATTTCGCTAGACACATTATTTCAGATTCTTCAGATACAGTTTCACGATATGATACGATTGGATTAGAAACTTTTATTGGAATACAAGCATGATCTGTTTCAAGATCTTTTAAACAAAGTTCTAAATGTAATTCACCAGCACCGGCCACTATATATTCACCAGATTCTTCAACAGTGCACTTCAATAAAACAAAACAAAACATAATTCAATATACAATAGCATCATAAATAATAGTTTTTAAAAAATTTACTTGAACCATAAGATCTGATTTAGCTAAATGTTTCAAACCTTCGACTAATTTTGGTAAATCGCCTGGATTTTTTGGTTCAACAGTAACACATACGACAGGAGTGATAGTAAATTTCATTGCCTAGAAAATATACAAAATATTTTTCATATCATTCAAATAAAACAACGTACTTGAAGATTGTATGCATTTTCAAATGTTGTTATTGTACCAGTTTTAACTAAATATTGATCAACACCAACAAGACCACAGATATTTCCACATGGTACATCTTCAATTGGTACAATATCATGACCCATCATAAGAATTGTTCTAAGTATAGAACATATAAAATAAAATATCATAATTATTCTCTTGTTTTTTTTTCTATGCGAAGAAAATAAATTTAGTGAAAATCAAATGTGCATTATATTCAATCAATTCAGAAGATGAATAGGAAATTCCATTATCATATATTTGCATATAGAGAATTTTAAAAAAGTTCGTCGGCAAAAGCAATACGAATAAATATTGAACAATAGTCCTAGGATGCTCATCTTTTTTTACTTGACTACCTTTAAAATATTATTTCAGATGTACGTTCGTTATTTAAAATATTGACACCGTTGTATTTTTCATATTGATGACCTCTGATCAGCATCTTGAAAACATCTTCTTTCATGTATTCTCATGGAAAGAATTCGAATAATTGTCAAACACCTCGTTGGATTTATCTGTTAGGGAACATCTTATCTATAATGTGATGTATTCTATTGTTAAAATCAATCAGAATATTTGATATCAATAGAATTTTACTAACCATCTTCTTTTGCCTTTTTTTTCTTTTATCAAACTTAGCTGACAATCATCGTTTTACAATCATAAGTGATTCCCATTCAACGTTAAATAAAATTATTTTGATCCTAATAATTATTGGTATTTGGACCCAACTATATTGAATAAAACTTAAGAGCAATCTTCTGTTCCTTTCCAGGTGTGAAAATCAAAAGTTTTTCAAGTTTTAGTTTTTTCATTGCTAATACAGTTCTGTAGTGACTTATGTCAAACGCCATATAAAATGATCGATTTGCATCGTTATGTAATGCTTTTATTAAATCCAACTTTCAAAATTTCCAGCAGAAAAACTCGTGTTACTATTGTTCTATTCTATACAAAATTATGTTAATGATTCATTCAAAAGGTGCTTAGAATATAGGTCATGGACTCTTCACATTGTTGAACACGTCCAGTTTTCAATCATGTTGGTTAGAGAAAAAAGTCTTGATACACGTATGCTTTTTTTCTTATCAAAATCAATTTGCACCGTTGATTTTTTAGCAGATTTTGCGAAAAAACATGCATTTTTTTATGGTATGCTGGAAGGAGATAATAGGACGAAGCAGTTTGTAGCATTTGTGAACCCTATATCTCCTATAAGAAAGTATCGGAAAATTTTGAGTCTAGCAGAGCTTTTGTTCTACTCATTAAGATCTATCTACTTCGAATGTTTCAATTGTTTTTTGATAAGTTGCTCTCCAGAAAACCATGGAAAAGGAGGAGAAATCTCGGTAGAGAACCAAAGAACTAAGTTATAGAAAATTTATGCAAATCGTTCGAATTGTAGAAGAATTAGTTGCATTTATTATATCGATGAACTTTTGAAACATTCTATATACATACAAAAATAGCTTTACATACCGTTGAATATTTTTAACATACAGATCTTCTTTTTTACCTGGTACATAATTAGAACCCATAATACGAACTGGTTGATTTGACTTAACAAAACCCGAAAAGACACGACCAAAAGCATAGAAACGACCTCTAGTCAATGTAGGTACCATTTTTGAAATATACATCATCAATGGACCATTTGGATCACATTCTTTAATACCCAAAAATGCTTCATCATCTCGTGGACCTAAATAAATAAATATATATATATATATCTTAACTTAGATAATATTAATTTTGTTTTCTATTAACATAACTTCATAAATAAGTTCAGCACGATATTTTTGTGCAACAACAGGGGATGGTAAATGTATAGCAATCATTGTGAGAAGAACATCACCAGCTGGTAACCATTGTTTCATAACAAGTTTTAAAAGTGATTTACCACCTTGTTCTAATTCATTACGATCTTTTTCTTGTAATTTAATATTTAATTTTTCAAGTAATTCTGTATATTCGTCTTTTCTACAGTTCATAATAGCTTTGAAAACTTTGAATATAGGATCAAGAACAAATTGACAAAAACCTCGAATATAACCTAATATATTATTTAATAATAATTTATTTTCGTTTTTGATCCTTTTTAGAAATAATTTACCTTCTCCATCAGTTGTTGACCATTTATTTTCTGTCGATGAAAAGAAATTATTACCCCACAATCGTTTCATTAACTTATCAGTTTCAATATGAAATTTTGATGCATACATATCAGCAAATTCTTTCAATGTAAAAGCCCAACCATGAAGAGTAGAACCAAAACCAACTGTACCTTTTGTTGGATCAATCTAAAATAATCATTTTATTAAATTAAAAAAATAACAAACTGAGAATATATTGTTAACATCTTTATTTACGAGAAAAATTTTTGAATTTAAGGACACAGTCACAAACACTGTATCTGTACAAAAGAAAACAAAATAAATTTCTTTGATCTATGAATTTTTCATTGTTGGTAAAAACTAAGGCTTCTTACTTGTAAATCACCCATTGAACCATTATCATCACCATAAGTAGCAATGATAGCATTGACATTTTCAATAATACGTTGAAATGTCTGAAAAAGATCTTCTTGTTGAAGTTGTAATTCAAGTAAAGCACGATCCATCTTATTTATAAATAAAATTGGTTTAATACGTCCAGTAAGAGCTTGACGAAGGACAGTTTCAGTTTGTAAACGGACGCCTTAAGTTCAAAAAAATACTTCTTTAATTAAAAAAAAGATCCTATTTATTCAAGGAATATTTTTTACCTGAAACGCAATCAACAACAACGAGAGCACCATCGGTAACACATAAAGCAGCAGTAACTTCCAATGAAAAATCAACATGACCCGGTGAATCAATAAAATTAATTAAAAAATGAGATAGATTAAGTTCGCGTTCTTGTTTAATGGATTCTAAATCTTTAGCAGGCAATTCATAATAAAGTGAAGTAGCTCTATATATGAATTTCTATGGTGATAACCAAAAAGAAAAGTTTTTTTTAAAATCCTACATTGATTTCATTGTAATAGCTTGTTCTTGTTCATCTTTTCGTGTATTTGTAAAACGCATTTCATCAGCCTTCTCTGGCAGGATAATACCAGCATTGCATACAAGCAAATCAGTTAATGTTGATTTTCCATGGCTAACAGAGGCAATAACGGACATATTTCGAATATTCTTTCTTTTGCTCATCAAACTACGAATTTCATCAACAGTAAAGTTAATCTATGAGAAAATTAATCATCTGATTCTTTTTTATTTTTGTTTAATAGAAAACTCACCATTGGTAAATATTTTTATAATCAGAGTATTCAAATAGGATTGTATAAAATTTTTGACTCCGTAAGTAAAACGAGTTTCTGCAATTAAATCTACAAATAATGAATTTAGACAAGATTTGAAGAATGCCGTATCTGTTGGCTTGGAAAATATTCTAGTTTGGACGAAAAGTAAAGATATCGAAGATAAAAGCGAGGGACAAAACTATGACCGCGAGATTTGCACCTTCTCTTCAACCACACATCCGCATTCACACCCTGACGGTGAAATTGGAAGCATACACACACAGGGCACATCTCCAAAAAGAGATTGAGAGTAAAAACATATACACTAGATGAGCAAGAGCTGGTTGAATTTTATGGACTCTTATAGATCGGGCTCCATCTTAGTAGAGTTAGTATACTTAATAAACTAAGATATATATAACAGATCTCATAGATGAATTTTTTCCATGAAAAAATATGAAAATTTTGAATTATTTATTGATTCATGTGCCTCATGAACCGCATACTATTGGATTAATTAACCCCACTAGTATGAATAAAGAAAAATCTTCTGTTCCCATATTTTAGGATCGAAAAACGTGAATGAGAAAAATGATTAAAACCAGAGGAATTATTAATATTCACAAAGTTCGAAAGAATTATTAGCTTAACAAGAAGAGAATAGAAAAATAATTGTTGTGGGAAAGTATCGCATGCGAAAATTTCAGTTAATCTGAACCTTATCGCGGCTATTCGCACAGAAAAATATCAGATTGAAGTTATCTAATGTCTCTCTTAGGCTTCACTGTATGACACAAAACATTACAGCTTCTAGTTGATAGTTCAACACTCATCTCTTGATTAACTAAACACAAGGTACAGTTTTGACTAAAACGGAACCAAACTGATTATACAATATATAGACATTGTCCATGAATTGAGGTTAGTTAAAATAACAAATAAAAGTGAGATAAGTCGAATATTGTGACTGATTTCATATATGTCCTAATCGTGTCTAATGTGTAGATCATATTGGTATTATGTGTGTGTTATTTAATCAGCTTGTTCCTACCGTTTGCATTATCCTGATAAGTTACTCACTATAACGAGATCAATACGACCCAATAGACTGAGAAAATGTTGTTTCGAGTTGTTGTTGATTAAGCTCGATAGTGTGCATGTAACACTATTTATTCATTTTTGTGAATGATTCATTTTTACCTTTGCAACAAGGTAGCTTTATACGTGCCTTACTCTTTTTTTTCTTTTTCTTTATTTTTTTTTGTGACACATTCTATCGCGAACGTATTCTCACAAGATGCACACGTTGCGTACGAAACGTTTTGGGTGTGAATATGGCTGTGAGTGTATGTGTGGGTGTGGGCATGGACATGGGGTGCGTGAGCGTGGATGTGAGTTTCTTTTTTTGACTTACAGCCGCTCACACTCATGCTCACCCTGATCCACACTCTTCTTGTAAGATCGAGACATTTCTTCTCTAAAGATAATTAAGGAAAACAATAAAAGGGACTCGCAGGCATATGAAAAAGTGTGATAAAATATGAACAACTTTTGAGAATTATGTAGAAGTATGAAGGAGCGTGTTGAAGCATGATGAAGCATGAAGAAGAATGAAAAAATGTCAGGAACTACGAGTTGTACGAACTAGTCTTTTTACCTTTGTAGTACCTTTTTTACCTTTTCATTATTTTAAATGGCACGCATAACTCTGAATGTAATATTATGTGCAATAGTCACCAATCGAGTGTTGACATTTTCATTTATCTAATTAATACATTTGGGGTGTGGCTGTTAGTGAAGGAAAGACAACTAGAACACCACACCTGAACCCAATATAGCGCTCAATGTATCATCATAACACTGAGAGCAATATTTCTGTGCGTTATTCTGACAAAAAATACAACTATTGTATGCAAGATGCTTTATTGCCAATATGCCATGAAAGTATATTGACCCGAGGCTACTCTTATTGACATTGTACCTGTGAATTGATTCTCACTCAAATTACTCACACCATACACATCCTTCAACAATTTCCACTCATTATTGACATTTTCTCTCATCCAAAATACTTCTTCGTCACATATCAGTTTCGAGCATCGTCCATTCCGGATCAATGGATCAAATGACACTATCGCGTCCACATTATTAGGAATAAGGATCGACAAGATCATAGAGTCCACTGATACTCGTGTCCATGTTACTCGAATTGTTCCTTTAATAGTCATCAATTCTGCTTCAGTATGATTCAATAAATCAAAATCGTAGGACATCCGTGGATGAACAGTGATCGTTTTGAGAGCATTCAATTCAATGCCTACCAGATATCGATAAAACCATGCACCAATACTATTAAACATGTGATGATTCAAAGAAGATTGTGCTTGTGTTGGCAATGTATTCCATTGTTCCCAAGTGGTTGTAGCATTTTGGATTTCATTGTGAAACATGTAGCCATATGATGGATATGATGTAGACAGAGCGAGTTTTAAGGCAAGATCATGATATCCTTCTCTCGAGAGAAGTGGGTACAATGGAGCTACACTGACGATACCTCCATAGAAATGACCAGTCGTATTCAGACTAGTGACGAGAGCATTGAGCACAGTAGCACGTATCGATACTGGTACAACATTGGACAAGGCTAGTGCAAGAGTATTTGCTGCTTGACACCCATCTGTATAGCCTGTCGCAGTCGCATTGTAGAAGACACGATGAAATTCATCAGCCAACTGCTGATACAATTGTCTGTACCTTTGCACATTATCAGTGTGATTCAAGATTTCACTCATGTTAATAAATGTGTACACATCGTGCATATATGCATAAGAGGACACGAGAGAACCATTTTTTGTCGGTTGAGCTGCTGCCCAATCACCAAAATGATAGAACATATTGGCTAGACCAGTTTTCTGATATTGACCAGTCAAATAATCGATCCACGCTTGAATACCTGTATAATATTTTTTGATAATCGTGATATCACCTGTATGTTCATACAAGTACCAAGTAATGGTTGCATAGGCTGTACCCCAGTTCGGATCGGCAGGAACTAAACCCACTGTGAACGGTACAGTGTCACTTACAGCTCCATCAAACCCTTGATTATCAGCAATCATAGTGAGAAAATTAAGATAAAAATTGACATAATCGAAATTGTAGAGTGTTTCATCAATACTGAGTGCAGCATCGCCCATCCAACCGCGTCGTTCATTTCGTTGTGGACAATCAGTTGGCAATGACATTGAATTGCTCAACTGCGACCATAGAATATTGTGTTGAATTTGATTTAGTACATTGCTTGTACTACTGAAATTCCCAATCAAAGTTGTTTCGCTATGTGCATTGTAACATTCGACATTATCTTTGCGAATGTCATCATAACCATTGACCAATAAATATCGAAAACCATGATAAGTAAACAAGGGCTCAAACGTTTCGTTGCCTGTACCATTTAAGATCACTGTATCCATTACAGCAATACTGAACAAATTTTCGTAATACAATCCTGAAAAATCAATTCCATTCTCACCGCGTGAATAGCGCAGTTCACCGTAGCGCAATTGAATGATAGTCGATCTACTTGTATTCAATGACGATAATCTACACCATCCAGCAAAGTTTTGGCCAAGATCGAACAACTGTCCATTGACAAAATCCTGCGAGATCGGTTTCAATACACCACTATCTGTGAGACTAGCACCCTTAACTCCAGCGATCACACCTAAGTTACCTGATGTGGCAATATGTAACGCCGAGGGTCCAATACGAATGGGGTCCATGGTTTGTAGAGATAGCTGACCGCCAGCAGTGTAATTGATCGGTGATGGTAGGATGGATGCATTGATCCATAGTGAATAAGGATCAGTGAAATTGGCACATGACCAACAAGATCGTACTGCTCGGAGATCCATCGTTGTACCCATATATACAGAATCCAAGCGATGTTCACCCTCTCTGCCTACCCAGGTTGAATCAGTAACTATTGACTGATTACTGCCATCCATATAGTGAATATTGATCTGCATGAGTACACGAGGTGGACCGTAGTGTTCGGCAAGTTCGGTACGTGCACCTAAACCAATGGTCCATTGTTGTCGATTGTACCAGCCTTGTCCTAAGACGATCCCGATACCAATCGGTCTACTAATGTTTAGTACAGTGGTGAGATCATAGGATGCATAAAGTGTCCGTTGTTGGTATGTTGTCCAGCCAACATCTAAGCGTCGTGAGGGATCAATCAATTGACCCTCAATATACAGCTGATAGTAACCAATACCACTAATGTAAGCAGTGGCTGACTGAATGGTAATAGGTTTGATAGTGGCAACAGTACGTAACTGATTCATATTGATGTGATCACTGCCAATCCATTTACTCGACCATTCATTAGACGAGAATAGTGCAGTACGAAAGTTGGCTGTGTACCAGCGACTTTCATGTTTCGTGGTGTAGTATTTGATAGTAACTGTATAACGAGTATCAGAAGCAAAAGGTGCACCTGCATAGACAATGTGTGTGGATGAAGACGAAGAAACATAGCCACTTTTCCACATTAATCGATCACTGAAGAGAGTATGTACCAGAATATGATAACCTATTTGTTGTACTCCTCTAATCAAGTGTCCATCATTATCGTATTCATCAGCTAATTGCCAGGAGAAGTGTGGTGTATGAGTATCAATAACAATATCGGGATGAATATTTACGTCGATATGTTGAATGCGTACATGATGGGGTGCGATGAGTGACGAGTTGGAAGATAGGTAATTGGATGCACAAGACTTATTAGTGATGATCAAAAGTGGTATCATTCGTAGCACTACCATGAAAACAAAATGAAGAGCGACCATCATTGATATGGTTATTGTCTTGAAAGAAAATGACAAAATTATTGAGGTTAATTATTCAAACAAAAACTTGTTTTGTGTCTGATGCTGGTTGATACTATTTAGTTCTATTTATCATATGATATATGGTAGCCGTTGACAAACAGCATGAAGGACAACCGAGCTCGTGCACAATGCGAGATAAGGTGATAATAAAATAGTTTACTTTTTGTTTTCTTGCACAAACTAATAGACTATGGTTAGATATAATAACTTCAACATTATATATGAAAACGTATTTATATATTGTCCTTTCAAGATTGATATGAGTATCATGGGTAAGGATACTGGTCTCTTTTGATGTTAATTTGGATGGTCTGGGTGATTGGAGTCGTATTTTGTCATATGTTTACTAAATACTTCCATAGCGTATATTGGATAGTCTATTGCATCTCTAAGATGCGACTAGGATGAGTGTGGGTGTGGATGTGAGTACTAATATTTTCTGTATTTACACACACCCCACCCACACCCACACCCTCTATTCACTCACGAACATTAGGTAAAGTGAACATTTTCGAGATCTTGGGCAGCCCTCCTGTGAACAAGATATACATGGATAGATGTTATGTAATCTATATCTCTTTAAAAGAACAATGTTTATTTATGAATAAAAACATCGGTATATATATGTTTACAGAAAAGAATATAAATAAAGGTTATCAAGGTCAGAAACATAGATGATGAAATTATCTCAGATGAAACATATATCACGAACAAAAGGGGATAATACGAATAGAAAGAAAACAATAGAAAAGTAAAGTAAAGAGATGATATCGAAAGTGATGTATGTATACAAGCGACCTCGATTAAGTCACTGTAACACCTCCAATTAAATATTGAAAATAAAATTGAACAGCATTTGATTGAACAATACGTCTTACTTAAGTTTTATACTGATTTTTTTGTCATATAAAAAAAACCAAAATAAGTTCTTTGAAATCATTTAGTCAACAACTAGAAACGATGTAAATTGCCAGCTTTTTGTAATTTTATCATCTACTGGTGGCCAATCAACTGGTTTTGAAACCCAATTTCCTAAATATGGCATAGACATAGCAAGTATTTCATCACCATCAATATCATCTGGTAGACAAAATCCTTCATTTGGATGATTCATACAATAGTTAACTGCTGCAACAGCACCAATAGCTACTTGTAATGTTGTTGCATTTTGTCCTGATACTAATCGTCTTGTTTCATGAATATCAAGTATACTACCAGTCCACCAAGCACGTATATATGGACTACCAAGAAGAAGAACACCAACTTCATCAACACCATCAATAATGTCGTCATTTAATAGACGAATATTAGGTTGAAGTTGATAATTATGCATTCGATATTCCATTAAAGAATTTATTGCTGAATCTGATGGTAAATATGCATAATGAACTGTTGGACGATAAACAACCGAATTATTATTTCCATTGTCGTTATGAATAGTTAATAATTTTGATATCCCATATGATTCACCATGTTTTATAACCATTCCAATTATTTCTCCACTTGGTACCCATGAACGAACCTAGAAATTGTTTATTTCTTTTTGTTTTTCTTTTATAGAAAAAACAAATAATAAAAAATATTCACCCAAGTATTCATCCCTTTGCGTGTGTAACACACTAGATTACAAGATCCTTTGTTTTCATCATAAAATAACAATTCATTAGGTATATCTCTTTCATGCGTTCCCCATGCCATTTCAGCTGATGCAAACGCTTCTTCAATAAAACCTTCGACTGACCAAGTATTTACAAATTCATTGACTTTTTTTGGTACATTAGTTATTTGTGTATCTCGTTCAGATACATGAATTGTTTTAATACCTATTAAATGAGCTAATTGAGGATAATTTTTTTCTTTTAATGCTTGTTCAAATTTAATACGATTGTCTTCTAAAATAGATGTTGCACATTCATTAAGAATAAATTTAGTCATATCAATAAGTGCTCGTTTAACGAAATGTGAAATGAGTCCTGGATTGCAACCATGATCAATAATAGCTGTTGAACCATTTTTTTTCCATGTTTTATCATTGAGCATATCGATTATTTCCATATGTCGTTGATATAATGTTAATAAACGTGGATCATTTAGATGTGCATAACCAAGTGAATCCCATAATTCAAGTGACGTATTAACAAAACAAACATTATAATCATTACACCATTTTAATAAACATCGTGTCTCAAGATTAAATGCAAGATCCAAAAGAATGTCATTTGAAGAGAGATATTTGTCCAATATTACTTCATAATTATCTTTATCTACAAGTTGTTGATGAAATTTGATCTGATTATATTGATCAAGGTATGGTTGAAGTTTAAATTGTAGATCAAGTACATCTATAATAGTTATAGAAGTTATTTTTTTCTTTAGTAAATGAAAATCAATAATAAGTGGTAATGCACATTGAGATACACCACCATAACCAATGATTAATAAATGACGAGAAAATGAATTCACTTTGAATGAAAAAAAAAACTTATGTTGTTGATTTTCTTTTATCTATTATCGAAAAGTTAAAAAATATTTCAAAGACAAATATAAAATGATTCGAAACTTTGACAATATTAGAGGAAACTATGTTTGTTAAGTACACTGCTTTTTTCAATTGTCTAGTAGGTTTTCATATACTTACTGAATGTTGTATAGTCTTCTTTTTTTATTAAAATAAACAAGAATAGATTGAATTGTTCTAGATAGTGATTAATATTTTTTGATGGTTGTTACTCTTGATGACATACATTCTTCTTTTTTTCTTCTTTCCCACATAATTGAAGTCGGTATATAGTTTTTGATAGTAGAAGACATGAGGAGGTGAGTTATATACAGTGATAATTATTATACTAATCATTCAATATATTACGTCCCACTCAATAGCTTATATAAAAATAATCTATCTACTACCACATCCATTGATTGGCGTCAATATACACTATACACTGATATTTCAAATGATTGCACTAACGAAAAGCTTGATCTACCTGTAATTTTTATCTGTTCTTTCGATCATATTTTTTTATGTGTGATTTGGCTATGATCAAATAATCGATGCATGCATTAATAAAAACATTCATTTCTATATAGATTTTTGATGACCGAACGCTGTCAACAACCTTCGTTTATTTCGAAATTATAAAAAATAATCGAAGAACTAAAAAGGTATATGTCGCAGAAAAAATTAAATTATAAAGATACAAAACAAAAAATAATTTACAATGCGAATGCGTTATGTTTTATTCAATTTTGGTATGGGGCGGGTGTGGGTATGGGTATGTTGTTCTTAATTCAACCCACATCCACAGCGGACATCTATGTAATATCAACAAAATTGAGAAGAATGTACAGTCGGGGGCAAAAGTTTAAGTGAAATTAGTTTTTCAGTATTTTTTTTTCGTATTATGAGGTACGGGTCTGATTCAAATGGTGATATAGATAGTATGAGAGGCCAGCTACATGATGTATTATAGAACGAGACTCTGTCTGTCTGTATAGATGGAATTTGAAGAATTTCACCTTTTTCCGTGTTTTTCGGTTATTCTCACTAAAACCAAATTTTGGAGGTGAAGATCGACTCTGGGGAAAAAATCTTTTTTTTTATAAACTGATAGAGCGTGAGATGCTCTATCGATCGATATAATTTTGATTCATTTTAGCTTAAATCTCTTGGTTAGGAAATGGGAAATACTGAAAGGCACTTAAACCTGTTTTTATGTAGAAAAAAATTATTGTAATTATGAAAAATCTATATAGGTAGGTAGAGCCTTGTTCTATAATATATTAGGTAGCTGGCCTCTCATACTATCTATATCACCATTTGAATCAGACTCGTACCTCATAATATGAAAAAAAAATACTGGAAAACTAATTTCACTTAAACTTTTTTCCCCCCGACTGTATATTCATTGGCGCAGAAAAGAAAATCGATAAGTAAATAGAGAATAGTGTGTTTTATTGAGTGTCGCTAGTCAGCTTTTTTCTTGCTGGCAAAAAAACATACCAAAATCAATACTCAGATGAACAGACGTTGGTTAAGCACGTGTTGATAACCGTGATGTGACATCACAACGTTTTTATGAAAGTGAACTTTTGTGACCCTGCTGTGCAAAGTAAAAAGGAAAAACTGCTGATAGATAGTGTGACGTAGAGCCAGTCGGATCCAAAAGTTTTGAACTCGGACTCGGACCCGAGTCGTACTCCTAATTTCAAAGAAAGTTTTTTAGTCTGAATCTTCAAGACACTGTGAAGCTGCGAGATACTTTTTATCGGTTATTTTTATTCTACGACTAGCACACTCTGCATATTTCCCAGACAGTTTTGATGATAATCTCATAATAATTAAATTATTATTGGCTTTTACTTCTAGAGTATGATCTGCTGAATCGAACATGGATCCATTCCACATGTTTGAATAATGTCATTTTTACCAAGATAATACTGTTGTTCAAATTGTCCTTTGTGTTAGAATTCGAATGAACATATGTTCGTGTCAACTCCCTGAATTGGGTGTTTGATCAGAGATCGATTCTAGGTAGTGTCGATGGATCGAACCAAAAGCATATTTAGACATCGAGTGAAAATAGAAAATAAGAATTCGAAAATCATCAGTGAGAACAATGACGGAACGAGAACTCATTGTGAAAAGTACAACATAGGTCGATGAACATCGTTCAGAAACTCGACGTGATTGAATAGTAGTCCATTGATTAACAATTCGAGCTCGATATCTTCTATGTTTCTAAGTGCTTGTAGTATCGATTCATCTCGATCGAAAATTTATCGGTCAATCACCTTATGTCTATTCAATGCAATCGTTGAACTCTTCTTATAAACCGTCATCTTTTTTCAATCAAACGATCTCTTTACGATCTTTGACAGTATAAATTCGTATTTTTATGGCCGTATTCAATTTTTCTTCTAAGAAACAATTTTTGAAAAGTAATTATTTCACCATTTCGACTTGTATCTTCTAATCAATTAAGAATAGATCTTGTTTGATTGATTAGCAAAATCTACAAAAATTCATTATCAATAATGACTCTATTTCTGAGATGAGATCAATAGTTTGTTGAGGCAGTTATTTATTCATTTCTGGTAATGTGTTCATTCAACCTTCTAATAATTTATCTAACGAATGTTTTTATATTCATCGCCATGAATCCATTTTTCCAAAGAATAATTTTATGGCTTGTTTAAAACTAGAATATTGCATCATTTTAAAATTCACAGGTTAAAACATTCTTCGTTCATGAGAAAATACATTTTGTACTCAACCAACAGCCTTCTTAATATTGTAGCGCCTGCCCGAGATGCAAATATACTTATGAGTAATAAAACATTCTACATATATGTATATATTGGCAGAAGTTTTGCGACTATTGTATTTATTGTCAAAACGCATTCATTTCTCGTTCTATTTCTTCTTCTGGATGTGATCGTTGTTGACAAGTGTGATTCCAATTATTCATCGGGTAAGTCTCCATTATATCCATGTGGATCAACACGGCGCATGCTCGACTCAGCGACATGCTCTTCCAAACTTACTGAATAGAATCAATCAAGCACGTTGTCGATGTATTGTCAGCAAAGAATCGTTACAATTGGCAATTGTGTAATCGAGGCAAAACTCCATGTGATCCCTATCCAAATCTCGAATTTGCTAAGCAAGTATGCCGTGCTGCAGGTAACTCATTCAAACAATGGGCACTGGCCTAGTTATATGATTGCTAAAATTCTAGAAAAAAAAATCAACACATTTTTGTTTTATAAACCTTGTTTTTTCTCAGTTTACGTACATTCTCAATAAATCTGAATTGCAAACTATCAATTAATATTCTTTGTATATTCAATAGTCTATAGGTTGAAGAATGGCTTTGACAATGTGATGTGAACATTTCATTCGTTCGATCGTATTCTCAATGATGTTTCTAGCATGATGAATGAGTGACTCACAAACTATTTTGAAGTAATTTTTGTGATCACAAATGTTATATTTCAATCTCAAATCAGTGCATATCAGCAAAATTTTACTACGATTCACAATCATTCACTGTTATACCAAGTTTGCCACTCTTGATTAGAATACATTTTTTTACCATTGATAAAGCATCATCCATATGCGCATACAATTCGATAATAAATATTACTTCATAATGATGAGAATGTTGTTCACATCCATACTCATATAAGACAACGAAATCCACATGTATATATGGACTAAGATAGATTCAAAAAGCAGAACTAGTTGAACATGAAGCAGTAAATGTTGATTGACGATCTCCACTTGGTTGAATTATTTTACTTTTTCGTTTTAATTCGCGAGATTTTGTGATAAATTTTTTGAAACGAACTTCTAATGACTATTCATATAGTTGGATGTTTTTTTCAAAAAATACAAATCGAAAACTGACTTGATTTTTATTATCTACATAATAAAATAAAGTTTGTTTAATATCTTTACATTTTCTATGTTATCGTTTTACTCCTTTAAGTAATATTGTACGTATGATATATATATAGAATAGAATTAAATTAGAATAATAGAAATTAACTCAATAAACTCACTGTAAAATTCGTTTGAAAACCATTTAACTATTATAAAGAATGATTAGGATATTTATCACAGAGAATACTTAATGAACTGATTTAAATAAATGTGTCTTTTTCTAGATGATTTTTAATCAAATATTGATTAAAGGAAAACAACAAGAATTTTCTTCGTTATTTTTCGAATTATAATTACAAAAAATTACATTCAACGTATGGTCTCAATAAACAATAAATAATTATCTCTTACACGAATAAATACTTAAAAACTATACTCAAATAAATATTGTACAATCATTCCCTTGTGGAAAAATTGAGTTTTCTATTCAACTAAAATATTTAATTGAAAAAGTGATTTTTCTTTTATTTTTATTTTCCTAGGCGTTGGATATTTCATTAAATCTAATATTGCTATTTCTATCTATATGATGAATATTTTCATTAATTAATCCAAAACTAACGTTAGTTTGATATCAGATTCAATACTGGCATAAACAGATAACAATCACTATACATTATTTATTTATCGAACATCAGCAGAATGGTTTATTATCTGATGAAACCACCATGACAATCAATTTTCTCACATCATTCTGCATATTGCGAGAAATAAATCTGAACAAAATAAATAATTAATAATTAATATAAGTTTATCATGTAATAATTGAGTTGTATATTGCACCAATTATTGCCAATGTTCAATGTTCAAACTAAGATTAAATAAAAATCTAGAATCAATTTCATTTTAAGTTTTTTTTTCCTCGACGATTTAGAACGAAATGGTAAAATGCTCTTATATAATAACCAACTCATTCATCGAACTTTGATTAAACTAGTTCTATTATTCAATGATTGGATAGCTGTGGCTTTTCTCTTCACCTACATCTAAAAAACGAAAGTATACACGTGTAAAAAATTTTTGACAAGAAATCAAATTAAAATCGATTTGAACAAATCTGAAAAACAGAGAAATCTACCTTCGTGACTGAATAACATCGATTTTAATCTTATTTCTTGTCAAATGTTTCTAAATTGGGTTTGTTCCAAATAATCAAAATCCTACAATGTCCAAGATATAATTTCACGAAAAACTAGATAAAAGAAGTGATTACTTTATATGAAACCTTTTATTTGTTAATACAAAATTATAGAATTAACAGCAATTTAAGTAGTCACTGTAGAATATCATAATGGTTGTTGCTCACATTTGGTTTGTTAACGAATATTAACAATTAATTAAAACAGGAAAAGATTGTAGATATTTTAAGACATGTCTTCGTCTTCCAGCGTAGTACTGTGATAATTTTCATTGACATTTGCTTGAAACAATATGATAATCTAAAATTATGAAATAAAATTTAATATCTACAAATATTTCTATTGTCATTTTTGAAGTCTTATAACATTCTCTATGGAGTTCGCCTTGCTATTTAGTAACAAACAAGATAAACAAAAATATGGTGGATATTGGTTACCATAGCAGATATACTGTGTAAAGTACAAAATAATAACAAAAGAGCTAAATAATTAATAGTTGATGATGTTTTGAAATATCAAATATTAACGTTTGTTTTCGTGAAAATTTTTCTAATACAAGTAAGAATCTTCTGATCATGTGACTATCTAGATTGACAAGACTTATTAGTGGTAAAATCGTTTTGTACTGAACTTAATTTATTTTGAATAAGTTAAAAGATATATAAAAAATATTAGTAAGACTAGCGAGATTAAAAGAATGAGGAAAATGAAGGAAAAAATGTTCGTAATAATGGCATAATCATCATATATTTAGCAATAGCCAAAATTTTGAACCCAGTAGCCACCGTAAGGACCACCTTCAGCATATCCAACGCCAATCGCCTTAAAATCTTTGTTCATAATATTGGCACAGTGTCCTGGACTTTTGAGCCAAGCATCGACTGTCTTTTTAGGAGTTTGATTGCCAGCAATATTTTCACCAGCGGCACATTTCTTCGAATAGCCTGCTTTTACTTCACGATCCACAAAAGTACTTCCATCTATACCTGTATGAGAAAAATAATTATAATCACGCATGCTTTCGGCGTGTCTCTCTGCGGCCTTGGCCAAATTTTCATTCCACTCAAGTTCTTCTGTAGCGGGATACCAGATCGAAGCACAGTAGCGACCCTCTTGACGTGCTTCATTTGTTAGTTCGAATACTTCTTGTTCATAATCTTCGGTGTGGCTCCGGCGGTTGAAATCGTGAAGAAAATTACGCTCATCGTTGTCTTCGTTGTTGTTTTTAATAGATCTTAATTTTTGACTAAAACTGGGCGATGACCTTTCTAACATTTCAGCTCTACCTATTACTGTACGGAGTCGAAGACCTTGATCGTTTGCTGGCAATGAATGGGTCAATTGTCCAACAGCCAAGCAAATAAAAGCCCAAAACATCCATCCAGTCATTGTATATATTTCACAAAACTTGACTAAATAAAATAAAATATTTTTAGATCTTTTCCTATATATTTTATATACGTAGCATACATTGACAGTAGTAATGAAAACAAAATCAATACTCATATAACGACTGTCCTATTATTCGATCAATTTCACAGGTCAATGAGTAATACATAAAACAATCCGAAAGGTATTATTCATAGAATGTTCGATTTTTGATACTTCGATTTTTTTAATTTTCCCATTCATCTATAAACTATTCCGCAAAAAAAAGTGTAGGCACCACAATTATATCTAATCCCTTTAACAAAAGTGTCAGTTAATAGATTGATCGAAAACTAGCCGCATTTAGTGGTGTTAGGGAATCCATGATTCATGCTTTAAGCAGTGTTGCAATGAAAAATAATAATCATCATCATCATCAGAGAAAGTTTGTAT